CAAAGAAGATGTTGCCCTGTCTTTGCATCAACAGCTAGTAGATGTTCTCCAGTACTGCACAAGTTTGTAATTTATATATTTCCATTTTTTGCCACGCTATATTTCTTCTCCACTACACTTCCAAATAAAATGACTTTTTTTAAAGCACCTCATTTATCTGACAGTTAAAGGTACTGGTTATCTGACGCAGTAAGATTTTACGTACAAAACGTGATCAGTTTATCAGTTGCAGATTTAAAAAAATGTCCCCTGGTGTTTGGAGTTCATTTAACTTGTAACTAGCTGCCCACTGCTCCTAGTACTAGACTCCTGGTACTAGGATGGGTTAAATGCAGAGGCCACATTTCACTGTGTGTGCTGTGTGCTCTGCATGTGTGACCATTAAAAGAGGGTTTCATCCCTCCCAATTCTATTCTATTCTATTTTAATTTGAAATATGAGTTGTTAAAATGTACAACTAACTGAGGAAAGGCTAAGTTAACAGTTAATATAAAACATACAATACACTAAAGATGTTAAGTTAAACAATACAGACAGATCTGCTTTCTGTTTTACATTTTCTCACTTTGAAAGTGCGTGTTTTATTGATTAACAGTCTTACAGTTGATTATCTTCTGGAGATTTTAGTGACATTTTAAATAACTGGATTTGATGCAAACTAATTGTGGTTATCTTTGTTGTTATAATTCTGAAAAGACATAAGTCATGACTCTTCTTTGGATGTTTAAGACACAACAGGTATCAATCATGTGCTTCTTCAAACTACATCAACATACTCTGCAGAGGTTTAACTTTTCTTGCTGGGAAGTTTCTTTAGGAAGTTATTTTGAAGAGTTCAAAGACTTATGGTCAGAACAATAACTGTTTCTGTGTAATAAAGTGCTCTCAAATTACTTAGTGTATATCTTTCAGTGTATATCTTTCTGATTACACCTTTGTTGTAGAACTTTTACTTGTTGAGTATATTCTAAACAGTTGTATTACTACTTTAGGCTTCAGTAAAAGATCTGAATCCTTCCTCCACCTGCTGCACAAATAGTTTTTGACAGTGTGACAGCTATTTCTCGATACAGTGCCGGGTCTCTTGTGGTCTATATGTCCCTTTTTCTAACAGCAGGTGCAGTGGCTGTAATTCTCCTTTCTTCAGCAGATGTGTAAATTGAGAAAAAATGGGAGAGAAATGCTAAACTGAGAGGCCCATCTTTTCTTCGGTGTGTTTGCCTGTTAAGCTCCTCCCGTCACATGTCAGTATGTATTTCCCCCGGCCGGGCCACAGACCCCAGGTATTAAAAGAGCCAGTTAGGGATCAATACCTACACAATGTTCCAGTGACAGGGGAGGGGGGCTTCCTAGTGTTTATCGAGTGTTGCAGAGATTTTGAACATGTGGAGAAAAGCAGCTTAGAGGGGTCGTCTTCATTATCAAATTCGATCAGCGCCTCTCTTTCTCTCTCCCCCGTGATCACCTTTTAACTAGCGGGGGTCACGAGGGGGGAATCTGCAGGCCGGGGCCTCCTAAACTGACCCCATGCTGAGAGATGAAGAGCTGCATTATCTCAGTGAGAGCAGGAGCAAACAAACCCGCCTGCAGACCAAAACAATTAGTCCATTAATTGATTGGTAGATCGACAGAAAATAAACCTACAACTCTTTTGATAATTGATTAATCCTTAAATCATTCAACTGAGCAAAAAATGCCAGAAGTTTACCAGCTACAGCTTTCATTCTGGTTCCTCGTGTGATGCTTGCCTTCTTAGTCTTCTATTAATATGAAATGTTTGCTTTTTGGACATTTGAAGACGTCACCTGGGACTCAAAGCTGACCTTTTTATTTGGACTATAGACCATTCATCTCGAAACTAATGACTATTTTAGTTATATCTAATGACATTTAAAATGAAATACAAATGTCACAATTTCCCAGATTCTAAAGTGTTATATTCAGATGTCTTTATATACTGAAAATCCGCTCCAAATTCAAGATAATTCTCTTACTATCACATAGGTCAAAGAAAAGCAGCAAATGCCGCTCGAACCTGCAGGTGTCCATTTCTGCTTTTAAAAAAATGATAAAAACAGTTATCCTTATCAAAATGGTTGCCGATTAATTGTCGGTCACTAACGGATTATTTGTCTAACTTTTTCAGAGTTTTAGTAGTTATTTTAAGAACAGATTCTCAATCTGTTGCATGTTTAATTAACTTAATGGAAGCGCTGTACATTTCTCATTGAATAAGAACTTGTCAAAAAGGGTAAATAGGTTAGTCATAATACAAAAAAGTGGAATGGGAGGCATCAAATTCAGAAAAGGGTTTTCTGTTTCTCAAGCAACACCAGTATTTGTGCATATATTTACCCTTTAAATGTTCTCACCCTTCTGCACTTGGCTTGTCTCCTTTTTCCTGTGTTACCTCGTTCCTCCTCAGTTTGGATGAAGCTCAATCCTAAATCTCTGTTTAAACAGTTCGTATTATAACTGGGTCTTAAAGGTGGTGCTGAGAAAGACGAAGGCTTAAACAGGTCTGTTGATCCAAGCTCACCCCTAACACCTCAGTCCGGCCCACTGTGGGTGCCCTTGACCCTCGGGACCCCCGCAGCTGCTTGTCCCCCTGTCTCTCTGTCTCTCCGTCTTTAATCTATAGCACTCTCTCCAATTAGAGACTGATCTTCCCTCAGTCCTTCATATTGATCTCCTGCTGTAGCAGGGCTCCCAGGGGCAAGAGATCATAAGAAGCTAATTGGAAGTTAATAATTCCTTGATGAAGTCTAGTTTATATCTCAGTCAATTCAGAACAACATTATCTGACTGGTTTTAAAAATGATCCTCCTTTCTAAACTCTGCTCTCTGTACCAGCGCCAGTTGTGTGTGTTTTTGAGATTTCTTCTGTGTGTACTTGGTGTGTTTGCAGCCGGGTCAATGTCACTCTAAGCCCTGAGTGTGTCATAGCCAGTGTCAGGCCTCACAGCGTGATCCTGGGGCTTAAGAGGAGCGAGTGACCCGCCGCCTGCTCCCCCGGCCTCCCCCAGGTCAAAGGCCAGCCGGCCCTATCGATCCCCCCCGATGAAGAACCCTCAGCCCTCCGCTTCTCGGCCCACATGCTCCCGGACTTTCACCGGCGCCCCTGAAGGCCTCTCAATTGTGTTTGGCATGCCGATCGATCCGGTTGGTGTTAGAGGGGGGCCTTCCTTTGAGAGAACTGACAACTACAAAGGTCCCCTCCTGACAGGCCCTTGTCAATACAAATGTCCACTATTGATAAGTAATTAAAGAAAGCCTGAACATAAGGGGAGGATTGCTTTCTGAAACAGCTGTTAAACAGGAGACATTAACAAAAACCTCTTAGTGACAGAAAAAGTAGAAAAGAAAAGTAACTTCCCCCCCCCCAGCCTCGTTTACTTCAACTGCCTCTCACTTTCATCCAATACAAATCCCATTAGTAAATACACTTTAAATTATAACATATCATATCAGTACTTGATGTTGTTAGTCTATGTAGAGAACATTTAATGGCAGCTTTGATCAGCAGATCTTTTTAGTCGTTTTTCAGGCAAATATAGAAAATAATTCCAGGTTCTCCATTGTGAGGATTTAAAGCTTTTCTTTTGTTTCATGTGATCTTAAACTAGAAATATTGAGAACACTCTCCAAGTTACACATTGAGTCATAGTACTTCACTTTACACCACAAACTGACTCTGTCACAGTGTAATAATGTTTGCTTGTTGCCAGACGACCCAAAGCTGAAATCCTGATGGGGAATTCAGATCAGATTTATTGGAAAACTATTTAAGTGAGTTTGTTCATCTTTTCTCTCAGATAAAGGTGTCACCCACACTGAATACAAATTATAACCCATTTCATAGTCAAACGTAAATTAATAGTTGATTCTTGATCAAAAGGGAACCAGCCATTTTTTTAAATGCCCACAACAATCCCTTTTAATTTCTTATAAAATGACAACATGTGCTGATGTTTTTAGTCTCCTCTGATAATAAACTACCTAATAATATGTTTGAGCTTTGTGACTGGTCATGGTGTGAAAAAAGGAATTTAAAGACATCTCTTTGGGCTTCATACATTTGTGATGAGCCAACAATGAGTTGGCTAAAATGAGTTATTGCCAGATGAATCAATGATGAAAATATATGTTTGAAACAGCCTTGATTGATTTAATTTGTTTGTTTGGCTCTTGTGGTGTCAGGAAATCAATATAATTTCAATATGTTTGTAATATTCTACAAAATAATGTTGTGCATGCCTCTTAGTTTCTCATGTCTAGTAAGTTATCAAGGCCATATTTATTTAAGTGTTAATGATTCATTTACAGAGAGGTTTAATAATTAAGTCTGCAGGTGTATTGTTAAATTAGGTCAAACTAGTCAAAGAGATTTTTAAAAACCTGCCAACCTAAAAGTTGTTGGTTATAACTGAAGTCAATGATTCATTAACCATTAAAGGCAGCGCCTGGTATCAAATGTTTGGCAATAAATGCAGACTATGTTTGCCACAGTTCAGAAATATACAAGAAAGGGCTTTAAAGGCTGAACTTTAATAACTTCATGTTATTTGCCATCAAGAAGGATAAAGACTGAATGTTTGACAGTCACTATTCACGTTGTCATTTTCTCACTGTAATTCCCTCTTGCTATGTGACAACAGTTATTAAACCTGCGTGAGTTTCCACCTGCTCCGCGGTGAGACTGTTGTCAGTGATGTGACTTGGCCTTTTGTCTTTTATTCACTGTAATCCATGCATGTGTAAGTAGATCCTCTAAGAGCAGGATAACTCCCTTTAAGCTGTTTTAACACTACAGGAGGGACTTAAATCCAGTAACTTCTCATTTACCTCTGCACCTTTAAGGCTCTAATGCAAAACACTCACATCCTGGTGACTAGACCGAGGCCTGTTTCTTTGATTGGAATTCACAAAACTGCTGATTACCTTAATTAAAAATGATGATGTTCTGAGCTATAGCTTCATTTAGTCAGCCAGTTGTGGATGACAGGGCTGTTTTAAGAGGCCATTTCTCATTTAGAGTAAACCCTGGTCGTCTTGAAGGGTTGGAGGTGATGCCCTGAAGAAGGGGAAATGATCCAGGGAGGAGGAGGGGGTGTTGAGTGAGTCAGTGGTGGCAGCTCTGCAATGGGGAGGGTCACACACAACCACACTCTTTGTGTGCCTTTAATCCCCCCAGCCAACACAGCTTTGGCCAGGTTTCATCATGAAAGTGCCATGAAATAACTACTTTTTTTCTCTGCTCGCAGTAAATCTCCCCTAATCCTGCGGGCTGCGGAGACAAAGGCCTCTGGGACCTAATCCTGGAGCTTTTAGTGGGGCTGAGGGGCTGGCCGACAGAGCCTCTTCTAAATGACTTATTTCTATCGGACACTAATATAGCTTGACAGCCAAGAACGGCCAAAAGAGGAGGAAAGAAAAAAGCAAGGGGAATAAAGAGCACAAACATTTTCACATATTTTGGAAGTCTGAGCAGTTGATTGTGAGAGAGGAAGAAGTGAATCACACAGTTTTGAGCGCAGCCTCAAAGTACACACCTGTCAAGACGACTCATGTTTATCTGTGATTATTAAAACCAAAAACAAGCCATTTATTTATTTGCAGTGGAATGTGATGGAGGAATGTACCTGTAGCCTCTTATTTATCATCTATGTTTTACTCACTGAAGAGCGTTTTCTTACCAATGCAAAGTTTACTTTCCATTCTTATGTTGAGAGAATACAATAACATTTCAAGAAAACTTGACAAGTTAATACCTTGAAACTAACAATTATTCTGCTCTCCTTCATTTGAACAATATCAACATGTCCGTTTTTAGAGTTTTCTTTTTGGTCGTAGAGTTTTTTTTCTTATACAAATGGAGGTTCTTGTGATAGATAGTGATGTATGTTGTACAAATGTTGATGTTAGAGTATGTGGAAGAAGTGTGCCAAGATATTTTACGTACGTTAAAATGACAATACCACAATGTATAAATACTCTTTAATTATCAAAAGTCTCAAAGTTCTCTTTTTACAGATAGGCTCGATACAGAAAAAAATACTCAATATATTTGATTATAAGTATTCATGCATTACTGTGTTCATTGTTTTAATGCTGCACCTGGAGAAGGGTTAGTATTTTCTTAATCTACAATAATACACTTTATTTATCTGTTTTTATTTTTGCATAACAAATCACAATCAGACAATAACTAGTAAATGAAGTGATCAAATACATGTAGTTGTGGCTGGTGTATAAACAGATTATTAATGATACAAGTAAATGCTAGTTTTCCTCCACCTCTGCAGTATTGTTTAAAACAAATTGAATTGGTGGTGATGGAAATGTTGATTGCCCTTTAGAGGACTTCATGTTGTTGAAGATTTCATGTTTTTCCTGTTTTCTGTTCCTGGGAAGACTTCTAATTATCTCAGCAGCATTTATAAAGAAATACTTCTCATTGAGGAGGTTGAGATTAACTTCACATGGTGACAGTTTATGGGCAAAATATGGTGCCTGTTAGCAAAACAAACCCTCAGAGAAACCCCCACCGAGGGGAGACTGTCAAAGCCAGCGGCCTGAGAGAAAGGGGCTGAGAAGCAGAGCACAATCAAAGGCTGTTATTTTAATCTGTCCTGCCTCGGAGATTAGCCCACCACATTGTTTTAATTGTTTTAACGGGAGGGAATGAAACGCTCGTTTATAGGGGGATCCTTGGCATAAATCTCTCAAGTTCAATAGTTTCAAAAACTTGAGCTCCTCGCAACCCCCCTCTCTTCCCTCATCCCACCTAATCCCGGCTAATACCTTTCTTTCTATTGGCTAATGGCTGAGGGGAGCCTGGGTAAATGCGTCTTAAATAGTCGTGGGTGAGAATGGTTTGGGAGAAATAGATCGGTACCACGACAAAGAGCGCTGCTGTGTGAGGATTTAAGGCCCAAACTGGACTAGGAGAAACTGGACTACACAGCTCACCGGGTCCAGACCTCTGTGCGTAAAGGCGCACCTGCACCGTCCGGAGCTCAGGTAAACAGCACAGGCAACAACAAACCGAAAACGTTTCCAAATATGTTTTATAACTTAAAAAGATATCTGAAAGAAGGGTCTCGAATTCATGATGTCAAATGTATCCGATTTTAAATTGAAATATGTGGATTAAAAATGCTGCCTCTCCTCATATAGCTTGTATAATATGTGTCAAATTGGCTGATCTGTGAAAGAGTAAATCCGTAAGAAATATGATAATAATCACATTTCATATTAACTTAATGTTTTGAATCTTGAATTTCACCAAATCACACGAACAGCCGCTTAAGAAAAAGTAAAGGAAGATGAAGAATAGATCATTACATTTTAGGGGGAAATAAACATAATGTTGGTCCTCCTACAATAGTTGTCTTCATTTTCATTTTGCAGTTATTGCTCCATACACTTAGCAGATCATTATTGTAATTAAAACGTTTTAATGACTTCTTCTATATATTAAGATGCTGATTAACTCTTCAGTCGGTTAAATAAGTATTCCTGTTCCTCAGATTTAAGATGAACTCCTTGAATTTCTGCGGGACGTCCAACGGTGGAGGCATGTTTCCTCTCCACGGTGTGAACTCCATGCTGTTCGACCTGCGCCACCAGATGGCGGAACAGTACCGCGTGTACTCTGCCGCGAGCCCCGCAGCGCACACCCTGTCTGTGGCCGAGAGACTGGCAGGTGAGTCTTTGTAACTCTGCAACACTTTAAAGGACTGAACACTTGAACATAAATGTTAATTAACAGTTTAAAACACATTTTCTCTTTCCTAGAGTTATGTTATGCACATAACTTATATATACAGAGTGATGTGGTGAAAGAGGGTTCATGGTCAAATTGATGATCACAATATAAACAATTGATTATAACACATTGAATCATATTATTACATTATCAATAGTTTGCATTAACTATGCAAGGCAAGTTTATTTAAACAGCACCTTTCAACACAAGGCAATTCAAAGTGCTTTACAAAAATGAACGATAAAAGACAAATATACTTTTCTTAAGTAAAATGTTGAGATACTTGACTTACTGTAAGTGTAAATATGTTGAGCTAATGATACATTTCAGTGAAATAACTGATAGAATGTTAGAATCCATCAAATACAATGTCCAGCCTATAAAATAAGCTGGTATTATTCAATTTTTCAGCATATAAAAGTCAATAAAAATCATGTCAAACTTCTACTGCCCTGATTTCAAAGAAAAACAACATGCAAGTGTGGGGAAAATATGAATTCACTTCATGCTCCCTATGATAGTGTTTTTGGAGAGGACTTGCTGCTGAGTGACTCTGGTGATAACCTTGTGTTTCTCTCTGTCCCGCCCAGAGCTTATTCTGGAGGCTCGGTATGGAAACCAGCAGAAGCAGCGCCGCAGCCGCACAGCCTTCACAGTGTCGCAGCTGCAGGCTCTGGAGAAAGCCTTTCAGCAGACACAGTACCCCGACGTGAGCATGAGGGAGAGACTGGCTGTCTGTATCAACCTGCCGGAGGCTCGCATTCAGGTGAACACACACTCCCCCAACACACCTGACTGGAGACCTGCTGAATAATGCACATTTGTTTGAATCTGGGACACAGTAATAAAAGGCTGCACTTACCAATTGATATTGACATTAAAGTGTAATTATAATGGGGAAAACAACTGGGAGGTTAAGGAAGGTTAAGGAATGATACAGTAGCACATTTGTACATAATTGAAGTGGTGACAATTACATAAAGTACATATGTATTTGTATTATATTTCTACTCTAATGGCAACTACAATTCACTACATATGTAAAAAGAAAGCTTGTTACGACTACAAGTTATAGGGTAATAAATGATGGTGTATTATTATTATAGATTAAGCCATAAATGAATTAAAACACCCTTTAGCAGCAAAACTAAATAGATAAACACATTTCTGCATCAATATTTCTAATCCAATAATATTCTAAAATAGGCCATTTTACACGAGTACTTTGTTTTCCTTATTTTTCACAATTTCTCATGTGGTAACAAATGTATGAATGCTGACAGTGAAAGGTTGCTCAAAAAAAAAAAACATGTTATTTCTGGCTCCCTTTTTGTGTCTTAACTTTAATCTTCTCTACATTTCTAGATGTTCACATTTTGAGCCAGTCTTCTAAACTTTGTTTCTTTTGAATGTGTAAACCTTGTGTATGAAGTGTGCCATAAACATACATTTACCGTGGCTGTTTTACTCTCTCTCTTGTCCAGGTGTGGTTCAAGAACAGGAGGGCAAAGCACCGTAAAGGTCAGAGGTGTTCCCCGCTCTCCAGAGACCACAGTGTGGAGGAGGCGCCACACCGCAGCACGGGGGGACAGGAGGAAGAGAGGACCGGAGACAAACAGGACATTTCCACATCACACACTGACAGACACAATCATCCTCTTCATCGCTGTCGTTCTCCTCCTCATGTGGATAAAAGCAGGGATATTTGTCCGCCTCGCACACATTCAGACTCTGATGTTTCACGGTGCTCCCTCCGCCTTCACTCCCCCCCACTCTTCCCCTTCAGGGAGTGCTACAGCCAGCCTCCTCACCAGCCCCTTGTAGGAGTGCTGTCCACGGAGCTGGCCCTCCCCCCGGTGTTCTGGCCCATCTTACAGCACAGCTCTGCCCTCGGGGTCCATCCGCCCTCTGTTACTAAAAACTGTAGCCTCTCCCTTCAGACTGCGTGCTCTACTAAAGCTCCTCACCCTCACCTGGGGCTGTAAATGTAGACCTGTTCACCTCCAGCCCGACATCTCTGCTCCTGCGTGGGGAGAGACACGGTGGAGAAGCACTTACTGCCTTTTACTGTAAACCTGGCAGAATATCAATTTTAATTTAGAGTGTTATTTTTATCTGTTTAAAGGGAATACATCTGTACAGTCACATATTTCTAAGTCTTATTTAAGTCTGTTTTTATTCAAATCAACAGGTTGGTTGCAACTGATGCAAATGTGCATCAACAAGACTGTTCTTTAATCATCACAAGCAGCATGAACATCCCATTTAAAGATACCATTGCCACCTTCAGTATTATTTAGCTGGTTACACCGGCAGTTATAATCCTTTTTAAAGCATTTCAGAAAAGTTCCCCATTGTAATTAGGCACAGAAACATACAAATGGGAAATAAAGTTATTTGTATCTGAATTATCTGGGGGTTGATTTGTGTTTTTGGTTTAGCAGCACTGACAAAATGATGGATTTTACTAAATTAACATATTTTACTGCATATTTACTACTGCAATTTGTATCAACATTGGGATTTCAACCACTTTGCAAAGCTCAAATATGAGGCCTGATCTTCTTTTGGATATAAATAAATGTTTTAATTTGTGAGCACTGACAACATCGAGCAGTTTATATTGTCACATTTTACATGAAGTTTGATGTGTAGCCCAAAGCACTACATTTGGTTTTGTAAAAAATGTCACTTTGGTAAGGGTGAGATCTCCAGTCTGCACATAAATAAACTGCAATATTTGTTGAATGAATCTGGTTAGAATTATGCATCAGAATTCCAGATGTGGGTCCTATGCCAGCATGACATTATTTGCAGTTGTACAAATACAATTGTATTCAAAATATGACAAAGTACTGAATGAAATTACAGCAGAAGTAACATTAATTAAGTATTGACTTAGACTTAAATCAAGTACTGCAATTTAACTTGTTATTACTTGATTATTTCCATTTTATACTATTATACCTAGATATCTGTAGGTATGAGTTATTTTGCAGATTGAGATTAATACTACATAATGAAATCAACAAATAAAATATAACTTAACATTAAAGATTCAATTCACCAGTAGTTAAAATGATCCAACCCTTTACAAGTTACAACATTAAAGTAATATTAATGGAATAAATTATAAACGTTATTCAGAAATTGGAGACTCTGTTTAGTGAGTAGGCTACATTTACTTGCGGTACTTTATTTAAGTTTAGCTTGATGTCAATAACTTTACTTAAAAAAATGAATGGATAACTTTTATGTGCAAAATTGTATTTCTACACACCGTGGTATTGCCACTTTAAATACAAGATATGAGTAAATGTTCTAGCCCTTTGACCACTGGTCAACATTTGTATACACCTGTAGCAAAAACATGTTTGACGAGCACGACATTCAGGACAATACTCCCTTTATTTTAGTCATATTAGCAGATTTAAATTATACCAATTTAGATGTGTGGTGTGAGTCTTTTCACACCATCCGAGGTAGAGGAAGTACTCAAATCTTGTACTCAAGTCAAAGCAGAAATGCCAAAGTGTAGGAATATTCTGTTACAAGTGAAAGTATGTATTCAAAATGTTATTGTAAAAGTACAAATACTTAAGTGTTGGCATCTAAATATACTAAAGTAGCCTACCAAAAGTAAAAGTACTGAATATGCAGATTAGCCCAAAATCATTTATAATCAGTTATAATTATTGATGTTTGACTTTTATCAAGCTGGTAAAGGTGGAACACATTTGAATGACTTTATTCACTGCTGGGTACCTTTGAATTGTAGTTGAGTAAAGTAGCATAAAATGGAAATACTCAAGTAAAGTACAAGTACCTCAACAGTTTACTTAATTGCTTGATCAAATGTACTTTGTTACTTTCACCAGTGCACACCATTGTATATTCAGTTCTATAAAGAGTGTAATGTGTCCAGCGAATGGACCAGCTCACAGCAGCTAATCAATGAGCTACTCACGCCTGATGTTTTGTTTTATTCACCAAACCAGTTGCGTCAGTTTTTCAGCGTACCGCGGTGGTGTGAGCTGTGAGCCGGCGTGACGCTGTGCCTGCCTGGGTATCGGGCAGCGGAGGGAGGCTTAAAGAGACAACAGCAAAATCATAGCAACTTGAGAGGCTAGAGAAACGAAATGAGAAGGATACCCACACACGAAGAACCATGACTTCGAATGCCTTCTGGTAGCTGACATTTAAAGGTAACACGCTTTCCTTTAGCGACAGAAATGTGTTGTTGTTTTTTGAAGACACCGTCCCGCCGTTCGTTAGCGTTCTTGCTAATGTTTCAGTGGCTAGCTTGCTAAATGGCTAGCTAGAAAGCTAAACGGTAAGAGATCCGGGCTGCCGATGGTGTGCAGTCGGTTGTTCTGGATTAAGGAGTTGCCCGGTAGGCAATGGTCAGGGTAATATCTACAGCTGGGAGCTGAACCAAAAATACCAATACTCTCAGGTGAAACAACTAACCCTCTTATCATACAATCTGTGGCATTAAGTAGTTGCGACGTTGTTATTTATCAGTTATTAAGCGTTTACTAACTGACCATGTTAATGTAGCACAGCGAATGTCAATCAATGAATATTTTATGATCGTTCCTGCTTCGACTTGTTCCCTTTGCATCAGTTTGCTTACGGTTAGCTAGTTTGTGTTTGAAATGGTAAAGTGTTGTTAACAGATTAGCCGATGGTACATCGTTTTTATTAGGCGTTGGGCCAAGAAGAACGGTGTCTGTGGTAGGTGCTAGCTCGGTTAGCTTATCACTGCTAATGTGACATTTCGATTAAGCGTCAACTATAGAATAAACGTCTACTCAAGGAGAATGTGCCGGTAGTGTTGTTTTATTTAGCTACTATAAGTATACGTTTAAACGGAAGCAAGCGATTGAACGATATCAAGCTAACTGAAGCTTGCTAACTTCAGAGTATCTGGCCTTGTCCGTCGTACCAGTTATGTTAACTTAACCCTTCTCAACACACGCATTGACGGATTTTAGGAGTGAATTCGTTTTTTAAGACCTCATCTCATAATAGAAAACTAACATAGGGCTTTAGAGAGAAAACTGCTGTATTTAAACACTTGAAACTGACGTTACGCGCTAAATGACAGCTGCCAACACCGACGTTATTCGGGTAGCTACTAGTAGCATTAATATAAGCTCAAAGGGCAGATCTTCTGTACACGGAAATGAAAATGTATCAACCAAAACTTGTCTATAACAGCTCTAATGGCTGTTCGATTTATATTGATAACGTTTGAATTCGTCTTGTGTCGTGTTATTACAAGCTAACTGCATCGACTACAACGTTCATGGCAAGACAATGTGAGAAACAAACCGATCTCGTTTGGTGAGGCATTATTCGCAGGTTTTCTGTCAGTTAGTTGATGTGACATCCAAAAACTAAGAACATAAAACATCTCACTTTGTTAAAAAGAACATTGTATCTATATCAAACAGCTGACAGGAAAAACAATACTCAACTTCCTGAAATCAGCCAGATACATGTTTCGCTATGGTGGCCCACATTTCTAAACTGAGACAGTGAACTATTTCATTTTTTCAAGGGCCATCACTATTCTTTCTTATATTAACACTTTATCATACTTGTTTTAAAAGCATTGAATTGTTTTTTGGGTCACCTTGACAAATCAGATGCTTGTCTTAGTGCATTTCAGTTGCTGTGATCATTTGACTTTGCTGTTACCGACCTCGTTCATTGTACTTCCAAATCTTGTGACCAGGTAGGCTAGTTTCTTCCTATTTCTACAGTAAGTATCGCCATGCGTCATGCTTCAAGGTAGACATGACACTGTAATGATTGACCTCATACTTGGTTTATAACTTACATTACATGTAATTTGTTAGACGCTTTTATCCAAAGCGACTTACACACATTCAGTACTGTGGGCAATCCCCACAGGAGCAATTTGGGGTGAAGTGTCTTGCCCAGGGACACAACGACCTGCTGACTGCAGTGGGACTCAAACTTGCTATCCCCTGATTCGAAGTCCAGCACATACCCATTGAGCCACAGCCTCCCTAAATGTGTGTTTTTTTCAGGCTGACTGCAGTAGTGAAAGAGTACAGACATACTCAACGTCTCAGTGTATTTGTAATCGTTGTGAACTCTTTATGAAATACAATCTTTATGAACTCGTACCTAGGGAATGATCTTCTTAGCACCTGCCAAATAAAGGGGAAAGGTTGGCTGTGGCAGGGAACAAAATAGGTCACCTGCCACCATGTCGAATAGGTTTTTCTTTTTTATATTTAGAACTCTTTTTTTTAAAGAGCAAGTCTAATTTTAAGGCAGGGATGAAGGTTTTATAAGGATATATTAAATTGTTCTACCGTCTGGCACCACTGATTAAGTGTTTACATAGATGTCAGAAGTTGCTGACAAAAGGTAGAATGTTTTCTACGCAGGATATGAAATTACTCCTGCCCGTGTTCACTAAACGTCTGACATTGGTACCTATTTTTTATTCTTTTTTATTTTCTTTATGTAGTTTAGCCTTCTCGTTAAAAAAAGCCAACTCTCAAATTCTAGCACAGATAAACATCAGGAAACTATAACTCCAATGTTTTGAATACCTATTTATTATCATAAACCAGTGCTAAATCATCTCATATTACTGTATGTTTGACCTGTGATGGCTATTTTAGTCTTTAGTCTTTCAGTTACAGCATTGCTAACTGTAGACCAGACTGTATCCAAATCCTTCCAATAATATGCTTCCCAATGATGCAAATGTTATGATGAGATGGGGCATTACAGCAGTCATTGATCCGTGGAAGTGCCTTTCCATAAGAAAGAGTAGCTGCCCAGTACTAGTGCTTGCATTACCTGCTCCACCAAACGTCTTAGATCATGGACATAGGGGAGTTAGGAGAGCAGCTCTGGACAGATATGCCTGCATGTGATTTTTAGCGAAAAGCTGCACAGAGAAGGTCAAGTTACACTGCTAATGAAAACTGAAATGATGGTTTGATTGATGTTGTTTGTGCCCTGAATTGCTCCTACAATAGTGTATGGCTTAGAATCATATCCTGTTCTTGACCTTTATTTGTTTTAGTAAGTAGGACATTTTGGATTTTTGCAAAAGCTTTTGAGGATTGTGCCTGAAACTTGGCTCAGGTGTTTAAATTAATTTACACTTTAGTCTTGCTTACAAGAGTTTCACTGATAGACTCTGTGTCTTGGGCATTACAAAAATGAGTTTAATTGAAAAAGAGATTATTTATTTTCCTCTCATACCTAAGGTCCACTGTGGAATATTTCTGCTTCTATTGATTGCTTTATTGAATTAACCTTGTGCCGGTCTGAAGCAATATCTAATTTCAGCTGTAGTAAGGAACAGCCATAATAGACATATATTGATCTTCAAGTCAAAGGTTAAAGTTTTATTATATATATTGTTTATGTCCACATGGCCAGAAGTATTATGAGAGCAAATAATGGTTTGAGTTTTGGCTTTTTTTTTTTTACAATCTCCAGATTATGCTTATATACTGTTTGACTTTTTGTCATAAATCTAGAAGGGGATAGCTACAGGACAGAATATATTGTCTGAAGTGAGTTAATATATAGAACATCTTCAATTAATGTAAAAAATATATTTTAAGAAAAAGTAATGATAGAGTTTATTTGGAGTGTATTTTATGATCTTTGTTGTAGTAACAGGCTATACAGAGCACTAACTGTTATCTCTTTGTTTTTGCTTTTTCAGATACCCAGCCATCATCAGACCCATCAGTTACCGGTCTTTCCTCCAGCTGTTTTCTCTGCGTCTGGGTTGCCTTGTCTGCTGTGGCCCTGCATCATGGAGAGCGTCCACTGTGTCACTGAAGGCTGACCAGAAGGAATGAGGCACTCTAGGAGATGTTCCCAAGTGTCCTTGTGGATGCAGTAGCTGGGTTTCGGAGTGCTTTTTTATGACTAGAATTGTATGTGCATCTGTGGGCACATCCTAGGACAACCTGCCTATTCTTCAGGCAGGGACATGCTACTCTGAGACTGGAGCTGGAGAAACACACAGGGAAGGAACCCCTCTGCTAAACAAGGAACCCAAAGAAAAAAGGGAAGCACTCAGCAGAAGACCTGACTGATAGACACTTCAGCTCATTGAAGTGTCCTCTGAATCATTGCAAATTTTAACAGCAACACCTTTCCTGTGTCCTGTGAGAGTTTGTCTCCCTCCCCCTCCCTAAAGCGTCCTCTGTCGTTGTTATTGGAGTTTCTATGGTTTGCATGGCTGGAGAATAACCGTGGAGAGGCCAGGGTATCACAAGCTTATGGATTTTGAAAAGAGAGGGGGCAAGGGAGAGACAGAGGAAGGGAAAAAGATGTCTAAGACAACAGGCAGCAGGACTGGACATGGGGGCCGAAGTTCAGGGACCAATTCTGGAGTTCTTATGGTTGGCCCGAACTTCCGTGTGGGTAAAAAAATCGGCTGCGGGAACTTTGGAGAGCTGCGGTTGGGAAAAAATCTCTATACTAACGAATATGTCGCCATCAAATTGGTAAGTGCATCCTCAGGGTTGGTGAACCAACAGAAATGTCTATGAGCTTTCACTTCCATGTATGCACCACAAAACTGTTCTGGTACATCTCCAATGTCAGTCTTCATCCTGTATTCTGTATTAAGACTACTACTTGCTTCATATTTTTATTTTCTAGCAGTCAAAAGTTAATTTAGATGTGCAGCAGACTCTTGTGCAGTTGACTCTTTGACCTAAGAGAGCCAGACACAGGAAGTATAAAGGAACTGTCCCCTCCTCCCACAGCTAGGCCCCATGGGCTGTTAATGAGTCAACCATTCTCTGCTTGTGTTTATCAAAGCGGTGAGGAAGACTTGACTATAAGACTTGGATAATATCTTAAACGGTGTGTGTGTGTGTATACAAAAAAATAGGACAAACTGAAAGTAAAACATTTTCAGCCTTAACAATTTGTGTCATTCAAGAGGTAAACAAGTGTTGTAAGACTTGTTTTATTTGTAAAATATAATCAATATTCTTTGTAAGCCAACATTTAAAATGTGTATCTACCTATAATACAATTCCCTCAGTCATAGGAGTTGATTTTCATTCTTGTGGAAGCTCTCCTTCTAATAAGCTCACTCTAGCCCCCATGTGCAATCAATAATTTACTGCGCGTGTTTTTGTTTTGTGTCAGCATGAACCCCCTTTTTTTCCCCTTCAAAGTCACTGTTTTAAATGGCATTTAAACAGGCTGCAAAAAACCACATGAAATGTCAGAGCCTGTTTGCTTTTTGGATTCTAGGCCAGCAGGTGACTGCTCAACCGTTTCCTCTACATCAACTTTCCTCTATGCATCTTTTCTCAGCTATAAATGTGTTGCCACTTGTAGTAGCTCTTTGATCACTGGCAGCTTTTTTTCCTCTCTGGTAATGCCTTGATGTAAGCAAGGCCTAACTCAAACTCCAGTTAAGTAGTCCTACTGGAGCTGATGGGTGGGCTTGGCATCTCCACCACATCGTATCTCCAGCGAGGTCATTATCTCTGAACGGGCATCCACTGAAGGCTTTGCTAACCACGTAGAAGGCAGAGGTTAGCAAACAGCTGTAATTGCAGTTCTCCTCTCCTCTGAAATCTCTGGTTATGTTGGCTGCTCCAAAAAGTGCTGCTTTAAAAAGTGAAATAGTGCAATAAGAGTCTATATGCAAGTTATTAGAATATTATATATTAGATAAATAATTTCTAAATAGCAGCCAGATGAATGTTATGGATGTTGTTTCAACAGTTTCAGGTGTTTAGCAGTCTTATGGCCTGTGGGATGAAACTGTCCCTGAGTCTGGTGGTGTTAGTCCTGATGCTGCGGTAACGCCTGCCAGACGGCAGCAGACAGAACAGTTTGTTGCTGGGGTGATGGGGGGGTCTTTTATAATCCTGAGGGCTTTCTTCCTGAGCCACTGGGAGTAAAGGTCCTCCATGGATGGCAGCTCCATCCTGGTGATGTTCTGTGCAGTTTTCACCACCCTCTGTAAAGCCTTACGATTGAGGGCGGTGCAGCTGCCGTACCAGGCCGTGATGCAGCCAGTCAGGATACTCTCTATGGTGCACCTGTAGAAGTTGCAGAGTATCCTGGAGTCCATGTTGAACCTCCTCAGCCTGCGGAGGAAGAAGAGCCGCTGTTGAGCTTTTTTGGTGATGGTGTGAAGAGTCCATGTCAGGTCCTCAGTGATGTAGACCCCAAGGAACCTCAAGCTGCTGACTCTCTCTACCGTAGTCCCATTGATGGCGATGGGGGCGTGTCCCTCTCTCGGCTGCTTCCTGTAATCCACAATCAGCTCCTTGGTTTTGCTGACGTTGAGAGGTTGTTATCCTGGCACCAAGATGTCAGGTTTTCGACCTCCTCTCTGTACGCCATCTCGTCGCCGCCTGTGATCTGGCCAATGACGGTCGTGTCGTCAGCAAACTTCACGATGGTGTTGGAGCTGTGTGTGGCGACGCAGTCGTGTGTGTGAACAGGGAGTAGAGGAGAGGGCTGAGCACGCAGCCTTGAGGGGCTCCGGTGTTGAGGATTAGGGATCGACCGATATGGCTTTTTCAAGGCCGATACCGATTATTAGTAATCAAGGAGACCGATAACCGATATACATTTGTAGTAAAATCAGAAAATCTTGGTGTCAAAATGTAGAATAACACAAACTCCAACACAACTCAACACAACTTCTTTGAAATGCATTTAAGCATATATTATGTTTATTTAACTTTTAAACATCTTACAACTGGTTTCCTCTCTGTGCCCTTTTCTTTAGTGCAGTCATCTGCAATGAGTTAGAGAGAGAGACAAGAAGTGGGGCTGCAGGCTGACATGCTTAACTAACAATAATGCTTAATTTATTAGATCTGTCTATCTAGCATAACATCCCAATAAGCTGCTAGCAACTGCAAAACACTAGTGCTAGCTAATGCTTTGCAAACTATTAAAAGTGAGGCTATTACAGTAGACCTAACGTTAGTTTAGTAGCCTCACTTCTAATATTTTGCTAAACATTTGCTAGATACATGTTGGCTAGCTAATGAGCTTCACATAGCAACCTGAAAAACTGCGAGACTCCACTCGCAGCCCCTCCCCCCCCCCCCTCCGCACCACAGTTACTCCGCTGCGAGACGCTGCACGCCCCCCCAACTCTGACTGACTTCCCGCGTCCCTGTGTAACTGGGAAACTGATAGAATTGGATCATAAGATCGTGGTGTTTTTGCAACTTCAGCATAGGGGATAGGGATGTTTATTGAACTTCGGTTTAACACATGTATGGCTCTGCCGCTCTGCGCTGCTGCTTGCTTCAGTCTGTGTCTGCGTTCTTTCGCACCTACCTGTAATCTGAGAAGGTCCCGCCTCTCTGGCTGGCTCCTGCCCGGAAAATCTTCAGTAATAGCCTATCAGATAGCGCTGTGGGCGGGACATTGCTCGTGTACACAGAGTGGTGACTGCAGCCAGAGAAACGGCCGCATCAGAGCCAAAGTTTTATCGGCAATTTGATTAAAAAAAGGCCGATACCGATAATCGGTCAAATGCGGAATATCGGCCCCGATAATCGGCCAATTATCCCCTATTGAGGATCAGGGTGGAGGATGTGATGTTTCCCACCCGCACTGCCTGGGGTCTGCCCGTCAGGAAGTTCAGGATCCAGTCACAGAGGGCGCTGTTGAGCCCGAGCTTGATGACCAGCTTGGAGGGCACAATGTTGTTGAAGGCTGAACTGTAATCAATGAACAGCATTCTCACATAATGTGTTCCTCTGGTCCAGGTGTGGATGGTGAGGGCTATTGCGTTAGAGGAAGTAGTGTGCTAATGGTGTTAAAGCACAACATTGCCAGGCTATTAGTGGGGCCCGATTGTGAGGCTTCTGGGTTTATATATGATTTTGAAGACTCATTTTAGATAGTGATTCATGTTTTTGTTTGTATAATAATTGTATTTTCTGCTATGATGACTCTAATTGCTCTCCACAATAGCTTTCTCTATAGGCGCATTCACACCACAGTACTTTTCCCACAAAGGTTCATAAGAACTTAGTTCATGGGTTCTTTAGTTCTCATGAACTAAGTACAGATCGCGTTCACACCGGAACAAGTTCCCGGGGAAGGATTAGGCAAATGAAGCCGCTGACGTCACTTCTTCTTCTGCTTTGGGTTTACTGGCAGGCCGCAAACACCTTCACGGCGTATACTGCCACCCGAAGTCCCCGGCCGGAAGTCCCCGGAATTGGGGACTGGCTTCAGTAGAAACTGCTGATGAACTAATTTTAGTTCCGGCTCTTTTTGGTGTGAACGCGACATTTCGGAACTATATCGGAACTAAAGTGGGAAAAGTACTACGGTGTGAACGCGGCTTTTGAGGCTTACAGATCCAACACAAACTAAACAAATTGACCTCTTATTGTTAAAGTAGTTTTCAGCCCTAGCAACAGTTAGACCCTCCAGAAAAACGCGGGCAAAAATCCTTGATTATCCGGGCTAAAATCCTTGATTATGCGGGCTAAAATCCTTGATTATGCGGGCTAAAATCCTTGATTATGCGATTAAACATGCGGGGGTTTTATGTGATTTTATGCGGTGAAATTGCAGGAAGTTGCGAAACATGCTAAATATTTTTTTTTTTTAATATTGGGCTGTCTTATTTATTCTCTCTCACACACAACCTGCCACTAACGTTAAACCCCTTTACTATTCAATTAAACACATGCAATGTTTATTTATTGTAAAAGCAATTGGGCTATTTTAATCACACTCTCTCTCATGCGGCTTTCACACCAGCGCTTTTCCCTTTCTAGCTCCGAGCAGGAGCTTTTCTGGTTCAGCTCCGGTTTCCCTTTTCTGCTCCCGCTCTGTTCACACCGCCCAGAGCTGCCGCTGCTGCGTCATGACGTCACCGTTTACGTCCCTGCTTCATAAAATCCAAACCGCGTGGAAATCCCTCACATCAACAACAACAACAATGGCCGATTGTATTGAAGCGCTGTTCGCTTTGGTTATCCTCTTACGAAACTAAATGGAAGGCATCGGACGACTTTACAAGGGACGACTTTACAAGGGACGACTTTACTTGGAACTTTACAAACATCACACGCAAGCATTTTGTTGTTGTTCAGGAGGCTGATCCCGCCCATGCCCCTGCCCCCGCCTCGACGTAAGAGAGACATAAGCGACGCCGCCTCTTAGCTCCGAAGCTCTTGCCTCTAGACCAACAATTTTTTGGAGCTGGAAGTGAACCGGATTCCGGAGCTAAGAGGCGGCGCGTCTGCGGTGTGAACAGGAAAAACCGGTACTTTTCAGGCTCCAGCTCCGAGCCGGAGCTGAAAACGCGTTGGTGTGAAAGGGGCATCACACACACACACACACACACACACACACACACACACACTTCTCCGCCTCATTCTGTTTTAATTTACTTGTTCGTTATCTGACCAGCTTCAATCTTGTAGGCTTTTCACCTCGTTTCTTGTAGCCCTCGAAAGGGTTTTGGAGGTTAATGCCTCGGTGAACGTGA